TCCAACAGAAATTCCATGCATCACGTGGTTATCTGTTCCCATATCTCTTTGATTCTAAGTCTCATATCTTCCCATTTGAGATTTCATGCTATAGTGTCACGTCTACAAAAATTTCACACCTCAGCTAATCACATTTGACAATGCGACGCCAAAATATACTGAATGTCACGTGTCTCCTCGTGACCAGTGTTGCAAAAATGCTTGCCGAGGCAATCCTTGGGCACCAGGCGATGCTTTACTGCCTTGCCTAGACTAGACTCTAGGCAGTAAAGTTAAGCGTTTTTTTATTATTAATTTTTTTTAGATTTTTAATTCTATTTTAGCGTTTTTTATAGAAAAATAAAGGCAAAAACATGGGATAAGGACATAAACTTATACAAAATTTGTACTTCTAGACTCAAACTTCAATTATACTCAAATAAGATTTTAAATTATATGAAATTTTTAAATAAGATCCAATTGGATAGAAAATTAACAGCTATTAAATGTTAACTCAGTGAGAGAGTAATGGACATTAATAGAATTATAAGACATTTTTTATGGTAAGTTAATTTTTTATTTAATTGAGGTCTTATTTAAAAATTTCATGTAATTTAGGATTTAATTGAATGGAATTAAAATTTAACTCTAAAATTACAAATTTTGTGCAAATTTAGGTACTTGTGTCATACTTTTGCCAAAAACAAACCGTCTAAAATACTTTTGAAAATAGGCAATGAAAACCGTCTAAATTTTTTTTTTTTTTTTTTAAACTGGGGAAACTTGAGGGTGGGGTGAGGGGAGTGGGGCTGGAGGAGTGAGTGTAAACTAAGGATTTTAATTTCTTAAATACGTCTTGTTGGAATTAGGCCCAACGCCCTCTCAGGGCCACATGCAGTAGGCCCAACTACGCACCCACAGGCCCAAGAGGAGGAGACATACCCACGTGGGTAGCACCACGTGAGCCAATGAGAGGCTTACATGTGCAGATACATGTCAGCACTGGGGGCTATAAATACCCCCCAACCACCTCCGAAGAAGGTAATTAATCTCTACGCTTCTCTCTTTGCAATTACTCTTTGAGAGCCTCTCTCTCTAAAGGATTGAGTATTGTTGACTTGAGCGTTGGAGTGTTTTCCTCGAGGAAACATCCTCGGGACTTTCAGGTGTAGAAGCAGCTGAAGACTTTCACGGTGTTGGATCGTGAAGCTGCCTAAACATTTGGCGCCGTCTGTGGGAAACCTGAACAAGAAGTCGTGCAGCTTAACCTGCTGAAAGACAAAATGGTTCGAACCTTTACAGGAGGTCGCCCCCCAAGAAATGAGATGGACGAACAGGAAGACGCTCAAGTATCTGAGCTCGGTTTGAATGACTTTAGGCCAATGCCAAGAAACCTCTTCGTCGGGGGAGCCGAACAGGAGCACCTAAGTGAAACAGATGATGAACGAACACCAACTGGGTATGCAACCCAGCCTGAACAGTTCCAAGTTCCGACAGAAACAAGACGAAGACCTCCTAGACCACACAATTCACAGCATGAACGACCTGAAAGGTCAACAAAACCTGCTCGAACAACCGAGCTCGAAGAGAGAACCAGAGTTCTCGAAATGGCAATGGGTAAAATCCTTGCCCGCCTAATCCCTGACGACCCCCTGATTCCTTTGTTGAACAAGGATGCACAACCAGCTGCGGTTGTTGCAACTCAAAACTCCCCCGCTCTAAGCAACATAATAGTACCGACCAGGCCAAGGGGAAGTGGGAAGCTGAATATCGAGCCCAGCTCGTCCAAACACAGTGAAGAACTGATGAGAAAGAACGCAGACCTTGAGAGACAGCTACAGGATGTGCAAAAGTTTATTGACGAGCTGAAAAGTCCCAGGTCGCGTCAACAGACTCTGGATTTAGATAGTGCCCCACTAAACTTATCCATCACAGCGGAGCCATATCAAAAGGGGTTCAAAATCCCCCACTTAGAGACGTATGAGGGCTCGGGTGATCCGGATGAACATTTACACACCTATCAGGCCATCATGAGAATTCAAAATGCTAACGACGCCATGATGTGCAAAGTGTTCCCGGCAACCCTGAAATCAACAGCCAGAAGATGGTACCATAAACTCCCCAGACACTCTATAGATTCCTACTCCCAGCTCGCCAAGCTGTTCTCCAACAAATTTGCAAGCCAGAGGGAGATTAAACGCATGGCGACTGAGCTGATGCAAGTTCACCAGAAAGAGGGGGAATCTTTGAGGGACTACATGCAGCGATTTAACAAAGCTACTTTAGATATCGATAACGTCCCTGATACCATCTGCTTGTCTGCCCTGCTGCACGGTCTGAAACGTGGCAGGTTCCTAGATGACTTACTGGAAAATCCACCAAAGACGTGGAACGAAGTCAATGACAGGTCAGCTAGCTTTATACTATCAGAGGACTTTCAGTCGTCCAAGCGGCGAGCTGATGACAAGCAAAGCAAAGGCCAGGAACAGCTACCAAGAAGAGAGGATAAGAAAAAGCAGAAAGTCAATGAGCCGTGGGGGAAGCCAGCTGAATTCCCAAAATATGCTAACTACGTCCCTCTGACCTTGCCAAGGTCTCAAATTCTGGCACAAATCCAACACTGGATTAGAAGGCCCCCACCCCCGTTGCATGATTCTCCGAGAGCAGACAAGAGCAAGCATTGTGACTATCATCGTGTATACGGTCACAACACAGAAGACTGCCAACACTTGAAGGACGAGCTAGAGTTCTTAGCTCGCACTGGGAAATTAGAGGGGTATGTCCAGAAGCCTTACACCCAGCAAACAGCTCAAACCCACTTCGTGCAGAGGTATGACCGACCTCAGGGGCAGAGGTACCAGCTCGGCAACACGCAGGACATGTATCAAGATAATCAATACCTTTCCGAGCAGGGCAGAGCATACAGAGGCCGCCAATTCAATAGGCGAGGCCAGGGTCAGAGACCTGCCACCCAGAGCCAAAAGGACAGAAGAGGAGTTGGGTGTACCACAATACCCCCGTCGTCTGGTACAATCAATATGATCTCTGGCGGTATGCATTCAGGGGGCCAAAGTGCCCGCGCCTGCAAGGCGTACGCCCGACAGGTGATGACCGTCAATAAAAACCGGCCTTTGAAACGGCCATTTGAGGAAGCAGAATGGGAGGCTGCAGCTATCACATTCAGCCCGGCAGATTATAAGCGAGCAAACGGAGAACTCGATGTTGTGATGCCTCATGCAGATCCGTTCGTAGCAACGGTCCATATAGGCAATCATAACGTCAACAAGATCTTTATTGATACAGGCAGCTCGCCAGATATCCTTTACTGGAGCTGCTTCCAGAAGATGCAATTGAACCCGAGCTCACTGCAGAAATATGAGGGACCCATCTACGGGTTCGATAATCAGCCCGTCCTGGTGGAAGGGGTCATAACTCTACCCATCTATGTGGGCTCAGAACCGCGCTTCAGGATGGCTTCAGTCAGCTTCCTGGTCGTCAAAATGGAGTCAGCCTTCAACGCCATATTAGGAAGGGCTACTATGTGCGAGCTGAAGGCTGTTATTTTACAGCCCCATCTCTACATGAAATTCCCAACGCCTCAGGGAGTTAGGGTGCTAAAGGGGAATCAAAGGATGGCCAGGGCATGTTATCAGGATACGTTTAAGAAGGTTGAGCTCGCTGTGGCCCCTAGAGGCTCTGAAAACAGAGGCCAACTCAGCCCGGTCAACAGACAATGAGCATAGTTGACATTGAACATAGACCTGAGGGCGTCGAACAGAAGGCAGAACCAGTGGAGCCAATAGAAACAGTCCCTTTAGACACTAACGTGCCAGAAAGGACAGTTAAGATCAGTACCAAACTCACAGAAGCAGAACAGGCAGAACTTCTGGAGTTCTTAAGGGCTAATCAGGACGTATTTGCGTGGGCTACAGATGAAATGCCCGACATTCCAGCAGAGTTGATGGTCCACAAAACTCAGCACGGACCCCACCAAACGGCTGGTAGTTCAGAAACGTCGCCTTTTGGCCCAGAAAAACAAGCTGCCATAGACGAGGAGATACAAAAGCTGCTACAGACAGGCTTCATCAGGAGAGTGGAGTACTCTGAGTGGGTATCTAACCCCGTGCTCATCAAAAAGCCAAATGGCAAGTGGAGGATGTGTGTTGATTTCACCAACCTCAATGATGCATGTCCAAAAGATCCTCATCCCTTGCCAAATGTGGAGAAGTTGGTAGAACGAGCAGCCAGACATGAACGGATGAGCTTTCTTGACGCCAGCTCAGGTTATCATCAGGTTCAGTTGCTGTTGGACGACCAGGAGAAAACAGCTTTCTACGCAGGTGACGCTATTTATTGCTATGTGATGATGCCATTCGGCCTGAAAAACGCTGGCGCTACATATCAGAAGCTGGTGCAAATTATCTTTAAGCTCCAGATCGGCAGAAACATAGAAGTGTATGTGGATGACATGATAGTCACCAGCGTGCAAGCTGAAGACCACATAGACGACTTGAATGAGACTTTTCAAAATTTGCACCGAGTACAAATGAAGCTGAACCCTATGACATGCACGTTTGCTATAGAATCAGGGAAATTCCTAGGATACGTGGTATCCAAGAAAGGAATCGAAGTGAATCCAGATAAGGTTCAGGCCGTTCAGCAGATGGAGCCTCCCAAGATTGTAAAAGATGTACAGCGTCTGACAAGTCGTATAGTTGCATTGCACAGGTTTATAGCCAGGTCGGCTGAAAGGTGCCTCCCGTTCTTTAAAGCTTTGCGACAGCCTAAAAACTTCCAGTGGACTGATGAATGTCAACAGGCATTTGACGAGCTCAAACAGTATCTGGCATCAGCACCCCTACTGTCCAAACCCGCGGAAGGGGAGAGTTTATGCATGTACCTGGGGGTTACAGAAGAGGCAGTGAGCTCAGTTCTGCTCAGAGAAGAGAATAAAAACCAGAAGCCCATCTGCTATGTGAGCAAGGTTTTGCAGGGTGCCGAGCAGAATTACCCACTAGCAGAAAAGGCTGCTTTTGCCCTGGTTTACACAGCTCGTAAATTGAGGGCTTACTTCCAATCGCACCAGATTGTTGTTTATACCGATTTACCATTGAGAAAAATACTGCAGAAACCTGAACTCTCTGGTCGGCTTATTGGATGAAGTGTTGAGCTGAGTGAATATGACCTGAAATTTCGGCCGCGCACAACCATAAAAGGCCAGGCCGTTGCGGACTTTCTGGTGGAGTGCATCTCAGCAATTAAGGAAGAAAAAGCACCCGAACACCCAGTTTGGGTTTTGTATGTTGATGGAGCAGCTAACGTTGAAAGGTCGGGCGCTGGGGCTGTGTTATTGGGCCCAGATGGCTTTAAGTCCGAGCACGCATTGAGGTTTAAATTTCAGACGACCAATAACGCTGCAGAATATGAAGCCCTCATTTACGGACTGAAGTTGGCGTCCGAGCTGAAAGTGCAAAGCATCCAGGTCTTTAGTGACTCTCAGCTCGTTGTGGGCCAGGTGAATGGCAGTTGTGACATCAGGGATCCACAGCTCAGTCGTTATGCCTCTGTGGTCAACAGATTGAAGTCGTTATTTGCCCTTTTCCAAATTGATAAAATACCGAGAGCAGATAACCACCGAGTTGACGAGCTATCAAAGTTGGCCTCATCGCAAGACGTTAATCCTCAGAGATCAATGATTGTCGAGGTACTCGACGCACCAAGCTACACTGATTTCGCAGTTGAGTGTCAACTGTTAAGCACAGATCCCTCTACATCAAGTTGGACCACCCCGCTCACAAATTATCTACAAAGTGGCGAGCTACCTGAAGACCTGTCCGCTGCAAAAGTGATTAAACGCAGGGCGGCACATTTCACTTTGATAAATAACCAGCTCTACAAACGAGCAGCCTCAATGCCCCTATTACGCTGCCTTACTCCTTATGAAGCTGAATACGCTATGAGGGAAGTTCATGAAGGAGTATGCGGCACGCACATCGGTGGCAAAACTTTAGCTCGGAAACTCCTGAGGCATGGTTATTACTGGCCCACTATGGTTGAGGACGCGCAGGATTATGTCAAAAAATGTTCGACCTGCCAGTTCAATGCTGATGATATACATATGCCAGGTATCTGAGCTTGTTCTAAAGACCATACAAACTTCCTGTTTGTCTATAAACTGAGCATAAGTATCTTCCTTGAAACAGGGGAAATGCTATCATCTCTTACGTCTCCCTGGCCCTTTGCTCAATGGGGTGTCGACCTGCTCGGCCCTTTCATCAAAGGCAAAGGAGGCTGCACTTTCTTGGTCGTTGCAGTGGATTACTTCACTAAATGGATAGAAGCTAAACCATTGTCCACAACAACGGAAAGGAAAATAGAAGAATTCTTGTTCAATTCAATATTGTGCAGGTATTCTTTGGTGGCTTAAGTCATAAATAAAATATATGCAAACGTAGTTCCTAACTCAGCTCCGTATCTGTGTGCAGGTTCGGCATACCTAAGCGGATTATCGCCGATAATGGGCCATAGTTCCGACCAGTAGCACTGAGATCGTTTTGCAACGACTATGGCATTGAACTCTCCTTGACGTCGATGTACACCCCGCGGTCAAACGGACAGGCCGAGTCTGCCAATAAGATTGTTTTGCGAGGCCTCAAGACACGTGTTATATCCGCATGTTCTAACTGGGTTGACGAGCTCAATAAAGTACTTTGGTCATGTCGCACAACACCCAGCTCGGCCACGGGCGAAAGCCCGTTCAGCCTGGCATATGGAGCAGAGGCCGTCATCCCTGTCGAGGTCGGGCTGCCATATGCTAGATTAGATCGTCATGACGATCAGGTTAATGGGAAACTCTTAAGAGAGAACCTAGACCTAGTAGAGGAAGTCAGGGAAATGGCTCGAATTAGAAACATGGCACACCAAGGTAGTGTAGCAAGATTCTACAATAAAAGGGTCCGAGCTCGTCAGTTTCAGGTTGGCGATCTGGTATTACGTAAGGTTGGATGAACTAACACATATTCCCACATGGGCAAGCTCGCCCCTAATTGGGAAGGACCATACATGGTTGCTCAAGTTAGCCGACCTGGATCTTACGTATTGGCAGATATGAACGGGCGCCAGTTACTGTTCACATGGAACGTACAGAACCTTAGAAAATTTTACAGTTGATTTGTATTATTGTGAAAATTTTGAATAATGTATGAGCAGTTATTGGAAATAGTACACACAGTTTTTCAAAATTCGTTTCAATTATATTCTTTGCAAATTCATTACAAGAGGTGTCCATGAAACTACAAAATGTGTTACCAACAAACCTAAGTCTAATCGTCCGTTAAGTCAATGGGAGCGGACGCGTCAGCACGAGCTGGGATGGAGATGGCAGCAGGGACGGGCTGAGGCGCAGGAGGAGTACTTGAGGGTTCAGCTTCTTCTGCAGGAGCATCACCAGCCTAGGTGTTGAACCTCGGCAGGTTCTCAAACTCCTTTCCTTCTTCGAGGACAGACGGTGGCCATGTTGGCAATCCCTCTTCGTTTAGCTCCGAGCGAAACCTCACCGTTGTGTCAGAAGGTTCAGTAAGGCTCTTCCCCTTTGCGTCGAACTCTTCACCTTCAAAAAACGCAAGCTTGTTGATCGGGAAGTCCGACCGGTGCTTCAACACCTTACCACGAACGTCATTATAGATCTCAGTCGTGGTGTTCATGGATGCCATAGCTACGGCGTCCTGGAACATGTCAGCACCAACCAGCCATTCCGCGCCTTGAGCTCGCGCGATGCTAATGCTGCGCTGGTGTTGAGCTTTGGCCTGCCTCAGGGATTCCTCTGCTCGAGCAAGATCCTGGTCGGCCACAGCAACCCGCCCTCTTAGGGCGTTGAGGTCGTTCAGCGCACCATCTCTCTCAGCTTCCACTTTCTTCCTGAGATCCACTGCGCGAACGACCTCATCCATGGCCGCTTGAATCCCACTTTCCTTCTCAGCTTTCACCTTGTCCAGCTCCTCCTGCAGCTGGATGACCTTGTTGGCCAGCTCGTCAGCCCGGCTTTCGGCTGATGCAGCCCTGTTGGCCATCTCTGAGCTTTGCAAACGGTTCACCTCGTCCTCCAAGCTCGCCTTGTCTGAGGACAGCCGCTTGCAATTGTCAGCCAGCTCTCTATTCTGTATTCAAGCTGCCTGCTCGCTCTCGAATAGAGCTACAGAATAGCTTAGCGCCTGCAACATGCCTACAGTTAGTTTTTGCTCCAAAATTACAACAAAAAAATGTTCATCAAGCACAATACTCACATCCATCATCTTCAGCATCGTAGCGTGAGTCCCGTGTTGCTGAATGTAGCCTTTGGCACGATGACGATCCACAGGCGGGATGAAATTTTGCATACCCTGGACCATCGCGAGCTGACAGTCGGGTTTGGTGTAGCTAAAACCCTCAGGGTATGCGATTCTGGGCCCCCCACTAGCTACTGGTGGTGGAAGCGCCTCAGCCGCGCTACGCGCCTGGACCGCAGGCGCCTCAGGTGAGCGCACCACTCCAGGTTGTCTCCCAGCATCCAACCTACGCCGAGTTAGTGGTACGTCATCTTCAGCATCGGACTCTTCGCGAGCACGCCTTCGAACATCAGCAGGAGCGGGTTCTACCCTACGCTCGGCTTGTGGCCGCAAGGCCGAGCTGGAACCCTGCTCCCTTTGTGACGAGCTGCGAGGTGCTGCAGGCGGCAGCTCGTCAAAGCGCGTTTGCCTCCTCGCGCTAGACCCAGTTCCCCTGCCTCGAGAGCACTGAGCTCATTCCCGTTGTCTCTCAAGCATGCTGCTCATCTCTCCTGCACAAACACGTGCAATAAGACTCAGCTCGTGAAAAAAGTAATTGACAATAGAGTTGTACCTTCACTAAATAGGTTTGTGATATCCACAAACCCACGCATAGCGAGCAGCTCAGGGGTAACCAGGGCTTCCAAATCAACTAACCCCCCTCCTTTCACATAATTAGTGATCCTATCCCTAAGCTCCAGGTCGCCCGAGGTTAGTGTGGGGTAGTTCATGTACGCATGCCCTGGGCGCCACTCAGAGAGACGAGCTGCCAGATCGGTGCTAACCCTCTCTGCTCGCGTATCCCGAACGAAGATAAATTGTCTCTTCCAACGAGACACCTTATTCTGTATGTTCTTAAAGATCGCCATTTTCTCTCACCCAGAAATGTAGTACCACCTCGTCTGTGTAGTACTCAGCCGACACAAAAATAGCGACCTGAAAACAATGGCTTTCGCAGGTATCTCCAACCTTGCACACAGCAGCATAAACCCCACGATAAATTTTATACTGTTGGGAGTTAACTGTGTGAGCGCCAGCTCGTACTCTGACAGAATGTCAAAAATCAGACCAGATAATGGGAATCTCAGGCCGGCGTCGAAATGGTCCACATATACAGGTATCCACCCTGTTGCTGACACACTGCAGGCCCTTTCATTTTTAGTCCCCGTTCGTAACAAAACTGTCTTAGGAACATGGTACTGTCTCACCACTTCCTCTAGTCTCTTATACCTTTTAATGGAGGTAGGGCAATCTGCTACCTCATGATGCAGGTTCACCCTAAAACGAAATCCGACTGTCAGCGTATTTGGCGCTTTGCGAAGGTTGCTCAACCTACCGCCTATGGTTTTATTTTCCCAACCTGCAACCGGAGGCACATTTACGGCCACCTCCATACTTTCCGGTGAGGGGCTACTTGCACTGGCAGTGTTTTCTAATGACAACCCTTCAGATGACGGAGAGGGGTTAGCACCGGAACCCTCGCGCGCGCCTGAACTGGCACTGCTCTCCGGCGTAGGGGTTCCCAGCACGTCTTGCAGTTCCGGTGGTACAATCATGGTAATGGGTTCTACGGCTATCACGTTCTCTTCCCCTTCCATAACCTGGTTACCCCGGAGTTCTCCTACTTCGCTAACAAATTCCATTTGTTATTACCTCAAAAATTGGTTGTGAAATTCCTTGAGAAGACCGCCTGAAAACTGTGAAGGTCCTTTGTTGCAGAAGAATACAGAGAATATGGAACTGGAAAATGGAACTGGAAAATGGAAACAAAGATGACAGAGAGGCTAAGTGACCGTGCCTAACATTACCGTACACGCCTCTCTGCCAACAAGTCAAAACGTTACATGTGGCAAGCACTTATTACAGGACGTGTAACGTCCGCCGGCTTTAGCTGTCACGTCTCTTCAAATGCTGAGCCAGCATTTATTAGGGGGGGATTGAGAATACTAACCGCTCTGAACCATATCTCTTCAGAGATTTCGCAGATTTAAAATTAATTCAAAAAGTGACAAGGATCTGCTCGTAACAAATCTCCAGAGAGACCAGCTCATAACAAATTTCCTCAGAGATCCGTCCTAATTCAAAATTTGAAAAGTTCAAAGTGACAAGGATCTGCTCGTAACAAATCTCCAGAGAGACCAGCTCATAACAAATTTCCTCAGAGATCTGTCCTAATTCAAAACTTGAAAAGTTCGAGAAATCTGCTCGTAACTGACCCATGATCTCTCCAGAAATTTCAAACTTGATTAGATCGTAACAAATTAGAGACTTCAAGCTCAAAACTCTGCCAAGATCAGATCGTAACAAATCAAAGATTCACCTTAGTTCTGAACATCAAACGTCAGATCAGCTCTACCCCTACATATTTATATTACGGTGATGACTAAGGTCACCCATATCAACCCGTACGGGTCAGTTGCTTCAGCTCGTTCACTATACGCTAGCTCGTTCAGACGAGATCGTCCATGTGCATCTGCTCGGCTCGCTGATCAGGCCGAGCTCGCCTTGCCTGACCACCCGCTTACTCGCGCCTGCTCTGCAGGAGGTAGGCAGGCGACCACTCTGGTTTCACGCTGCCCAGATCGGCCGTCCATGAGGCCGGTCATGAACACAAAGTATCACTCCTCATCCTCAGGGTCAAACACCATACTAACAAGACTCCTAACCCAGTTCGTCAACCGAACACCGAGGGGGAAGTAATGTTGGAATTAGGCCCAACGCCCTCTCAGGGCCACATGCAGTAGGCCCAACTACGCACCCACAGGCCCAAGAGGAGGAGACATACCCACGTGGGCAGCACCACGTGGGCCAATGAGAGGCTTACATGTGCAGATACATGTCAGCACTGGGCGCTATAAATACCCCCCAACCACCTCCGAAGAAGGTAATTAATCTCTATGCTTCTCTCTCTGCAATTACTCTTTGAGAGCCTCTCTATCTAAAGGATTGAGTATTGCTGACTTGAGCGTTGGAGTGTTTTCCCCGAGAAAACATCCTCGGGACTTTCAGGTGTAGAAGCAGCTGAAGACTTCCACGGTGTTGGATCGTGAAGCTGCCTAAACACGTCTCTTTTAGGGAATAATTCTAAGTCAATTAATGATAAATAAACCGTCTAAAATACTTAATAACACTTAGATAGCACCTAAGCACCACCCTAGTGCTAGCCAGTGGCCCACTGCCCACCTTCGGCTAAGGCTTTCTGTGAGACCAACGTCTCCACTAGCTTACAGATAAATTTGAATAATTACATATAAAAAGTCAGTGACTTTGTCACCCTGAGTGGGATCTGCATCAGACATCAGCAAAAATTGTAAATAAAATTCATGCAATTATTCAGTGAGATGATAAATTAAAAAATGCATTAGAATTTTAGAAACCAAAAAGAAGGTTCTGCGTTGTTCTCATTTCCTTTTCGTCAACAGAATATTAGCTACAACAGCGATACAAAGTCTCATAACATTTAAACAAAAAAACAAAGTTAAAAGGAAGATTAACAAAAGGAGCGCAGGGGAAACAAGAAAAAATGAGGTCAAAATTACAAAAAGCCCGTCCCTCCATTATTTCCCTCCTTTTCTCTCTTCTTCTAGTAAAAAACCTGCTTAAGCTTCGAGAGCATGTGTGGCAATCATTGGCGGCCGCGGCACTGGAACAGTGATGACCACCGCGGCCGTGTTAGGATTAGCTTCGACATCGTTGGCCATGGTTATTGCTTTGGTTTGGCCATTTTCTACAGTGCCTTTTATGGCTTCTGGGAGTATTGGTTCAGCTTCTTTTTCTTGGGATTCCTTGTGCTTCCCCCACAGAACAGAGTATAGTCCCATTACTATTAGTATTGCTCCAAGAACACTGTAAAAAAATGAAAAAGAAAAAAAGATTTAGATGTCAATGTTTTTCAATCTCGACTAACATTGATATTTCAGTATTATGACTGACATATTATTATTTTTTTTTTTCTGTTTGAACTGAAAAGAATATTTCTATTAAAATTAAAGAAGAATGGTTTTGACAAAAAGTGGGAATTACCCTCCAAGATAGATCTTCTCAGCCAGGATGAAAGAACCCATGATTGCCACAATGATCATCATCAGAGGGCTAAAAGCTGTGACAAAGACAGGCCCTCTTTTCTGCATCACTATTCCTTGAACATAGTATGCAATACTTGATGAGACTATCCCCTGTTCATGGAAATTACTAATCTTAGTCTCCAATATCACTTTTGTTACTTTAATAAGGGAAAAACCTTGTGGTAAGTCTTATTTTTGATTGAAGAATGCATGTCCCGTTTTGAGAAAGGGAAATGTGTCATCACTTTAACTAATAGCTATAGAGAAAGAAAGAGAATTACAGCATAGGCAGCCGCAAGAAGATTGATGTCCCAGCGAATGGTCCAAACAGAGGATTTGTGCTCCATCACAAATGTGACAGCAATAGATTGTAACGTGCCGATGAAGCAAACTAGAGATGTAAGAGAGAGCTGAGCTTGGTATCTCTTAAGTGTCACTGCCTGTAATAATAGCAAATTATATTTTAAAAAATTCTAAAAAAACTTAATATTTTATTTTATTTTTAAAAAAAAAAATTTAGTACCTGAAGGATGAAGAATGAAGCCCAAGCAAGAGTGGCAAAGATGAGGAGAATAGAACCCTTAAGCCAGTCCTTATCGGCTGCAGCAGCGGCGGCAGGGGTAGAGGTTGTGTTGGTGTGGATGTGGTTGGACCAGAACAAATTTATGACATGACCCTTGTACAATGTCATCAACATGGCTCCGGCCACCGTTACGATGGTTCCCACCACCTTTGCTTGACATCGTATTTTCTTCATGTCCACTTTCTCCATCCTTCAAATCCCAACACAGAAAACAAAACCCTGTTTTTAGTACAACTATACTCCAAAACCATTTGTAAAACAATTTGTTTATGAGCGGTCTTATGAATTTAGTATTTGAAATTTACCAACTTTCTGAGTAATTATACCTGCAAAGAACCGCCATGACAAACGTCATGGCGGGTAACATGTTACTCAAGGCACAGGAGAAGGTTGGCGAGGTGAATTTCAGTCCGGTGTAGTAGAAGTTTTGATCAATCACAGGCCTACCGGAAAATACCAAGAATGTTGAGCTTAATTCCATCATTTCCAGAACTATTAAGTTAACATCCATGGTGGATGAGATTAAAAGGAGCACTCACCCAAGAAGACCCAGCGCAAATATTTGCAAGAAAATTGGGAATGTGATCTTTGGCCTAACTTTCCTGAACAAGAAAACCAGACCAAACCGAATCAAAACCAGAACTTGCTCATAACCCTTTTTACCATGATCAACAAGCGCTGAATCAATTCAACTACAAACCTCTCAAGCACAATAGCAAAGGGAGCAATAACCGTAGTAGCAAAGGCGTGGCGGTAGACTACAAGAACATAATGGCTCATTCCTCTGTTGAGGGAAACCTTAGTGATGATGTTCATCCCAGCATAGCCAAATTGCAGAGAAATCATGGCTATGTATGGCTTAGACCTTTGGATGAAGATCCCAAAGCATCCTAATCTTCCAGCCTCCATATTTAAAGGAAAAGGAGAAAAAGAGAAGAAGAAAATACAAGAGGAAACTAGAGGAAGAACACTTGATGCTTGTGTCTCCTAAGGAGGAAATGGTGATGGGGTTGCAAATTTATAGTGAGGGCAGGGGGGACGGGGGAGGGGGCAGGAGAGGGTTCTATCCAAAATAGTTAGGGAGGGATTAACTCAAGCATGAGAGAGTCTTGCGTTCATCACAGGTGGGAGAATATCTGTTTGAATATTCTGAATAGCTAATTTTTGTATCCAAACAGGGGGTGGTGTGGGTTCCAGGTGGATTACAGATAGGGGGAAGTGGCAAAGCGACTTGAGAATTGAGAGGGCATCAAAGTCTCGGTGCTTGCTGATGCCGTAAATTAACATGGTGGTGATGGATTCTGTTGGTGTTTGCGGGTTCTCGGTGCCTCACCGATGCGGCAGCCCGAGACGTCTCTAGTCCATCCGAATCAGGTTCTTGATCAG